GAGCTTGCAGCTGGCGGGTATTTAAGCCGGAAAGGCAAGCGCATCTCCAGCTGTGGGGAGCTGCAGGGCGTGCCGGTGGGGGTCAGGTGACTGAGATGAGGTTGGGGTGTCCAACTTCCGATCCGGTGAGTCAGAGGTGTTTAGTCTGAGAACTGAAGGGTGAGAAGGAAGACAGCCAGGTGAAAAGTAGGGGAAGGACATTCTAGACAGAAGGAAGGACATACACAAAGGCCCCAGCATGGGGAAGAGCTGGAGAGACGGGCATAAGAGCCAGGCCAGAGGTGAAGGGATTTAGAAGTCCGGGGCAGGGCAGCTGCCTGGCTTGCTGACTCCATCCCTGTTCCGGGTGCATATGGGAGGCAGCTAATCCATTTTTCACTCTCGTATCGATGTTGCTCTCTTTCTCTCCCTCTCCCTTCTTCTCTCTCAAAAAAAAATTTTTTTTTTAAGTATATGATTGTCTAACCACTAAGCTGTACACCTTAAACGAGCAATTTTCGACCCATGTGCTGCATGAATTTTTAAAACATATAATACTGATCTCTGTTCCTTTAGATTGTCAAATTAAAAAGTGGCAACAGCCAATACAACAGCCGTTTGGTGTGAATGCCCTGTCGTGAACCATAAATATATAGTTCATGTAATGGAGTTGCATCTTATTGGTGAGGTTGCATAGTAAGATTGCATCTGATTGGTTAGTTCTTGGCATCAGAAATCCTTATATACAACTGTGGGCACCTGATTTTTTAAAGTCACTTTGGAGCAAAAAGGGTAGGTAATTACTGTTACTATTATTTCTGTAAATCCATTAAGATTATACTTATTTCCTTTTTGTCGCATTGGCACAGAATATATTTTTTGGTGTGCTGCAGCATTTTAGTAATTAGTTTATGTGTGGAGATGGAAAAGGTTGAAAATTGCTCCCTTAAACCAATACAAAATTTAAAAAAAAACATAAAAAGAAAAAAAAAATAGAGCCAGGCCAGCAGGAACTTGTCGGCCATGCAGGTAAGGATTGAGATGTTTTTTTTTTGTCGCATTGGCACAGAATGTATTTTTTGGTGTGCTGCAGCATTTTAGTAATTAGTTTATGTGTGGAGATGGAAAAGGTTGAAAATTGCTCCCTTAAACCAATACAAAATTTAAAAAAAAACATAAAAAGAAAAAAAAAATAGAGCCAGGCCAGCAGGAACTTGTCGGCCATGCAGGTAAGGATTGAGATGTTTTTCTAAGTGCTTGGAGAAGTTGTTGATGGTTTGCAAACTCTGACATGTCACGAGTTCATTTTTGTTGAAAACAGTGCTGTGGCTGCTGCATACAGTGGTGAGAGGAGGGAGGAGGGACGGCCAGGCCCAGGGCTGCCCCAGCTCTTCGACACAGGCTTTGCTTGTACACGCACTAAAATATGTCAGTAGACGCTAAAAATACGGAAGTGGGCATTTTAATACTTTCCTACATGTGTTCTGAGTGCCTGCCACTCACGTTGGAGCCTGTTCGTCCAGATGAGTGCTTCTCAGTGAGGGTGACTGCTCCCCAGGGGACATTTGTCAGGGTCTGGCAGCTTTGGGGTTGGCACAGCCGTGGAGGTGCTACTTGGAGGAAGGGGCCAGGGACGCTCGCGCTTAAACATCCTGCATTGCACAGGACTAGCCCCTCCACATGAAGCATCAGGTCCATGATATCGTAGACGGAGTTTGAGAAATCCTAACGCAGACCCAGGACAGGAGTTGCCAAGCAGGTTCTTGTGCCATGGCTTTAAGGATAAGCAGATGCAGTTGAGATATGTATTATGGAGATTAAGATGGGTTTCATCAGTTAGAAACACAAAATCCTGGGTTTAAACGTAAGGTGTCTCACAACAAAATTGTAGCTTTTTTTACTTTTGCATTTAGAGAACCCATGGAATTTACTTACATTCAAGATAAAGCTTTTATGGCAGACATATACTCATTTGATTTTAGTTTATATGAAGTTTATATTAGGAATAATACTTCACTTATTTTTATATAGTCTTCATATTTGGTATAGGAATATATAGTAGACTGTTTTGAGGGATTGCTATTTCTTCCATCAAGGGGTCAGATAGTGTTTTTGTTTTTGAGGGCCAAGAAGTAAAGAATAATTATTTGAAATATAACCATTTAAAAACGTAAAAAACATTTTAAGTTCATGGGTAGTAAAATAAAACAAAACAAAAAATCCAGCAGATGGCTAGATTTGTACCATGAGCTGTAGTTTGTTAAACCCAGATCTAAACTAATCATTTTAAGTAGTAACTAGAATATATAGTAGGTATTTGAATCAAAGCAATATTAGATGATAGACTCTATATGGTCATATGATCATTTACTTTTGCTTAGAAATATGGAATGGTAGGGGCATGGGGAACCTTCATATTCACAGAGGATAAAAGAAAATTTCAACTTGGGTTAATAAGAGTGAGGATTAACATTCATTTAAAATCTGCAGTTGTAGGTTTCCTGAGTGAATTAGTTTTCAAAAATTGGTGAGCTGCTGCCCTCTTGTGGGAAGCTCTTGTCATAGCGCTTCCCTGTTGCCTTTACTTCTTAGCCCTGACAGACACAGCACGTACTCCGAGATGATCTCTACTTGGAGAAGACGGCTGTGACAGTTGCTAACGTAACAAGTTAGTCACAGCTGTTGCCTGTTAATATTCATAATAGAGTTCACTTGTACATTTCTGAAAGGAACAGAGCAAATGCATTTTGAAACTTCCCTTCTCAAATAATTTCCAGAGTGAGTGCACCATTTTACATTCCCACCAGCACATATGAGAGACACAATTTCTTTGTATTTTGCCAGCATTTGGTGTGTCACTTTTGAATTTTATTTTAGCTGCCCTAATAGGTATGTCATGTGACATCTCAATTAATTTTCTATTCCTTATGGCTAATAATGAACATCTTTTGTGGGTTTTTTTTGTGTTGTTGTTTTTTTTTCCATCTGAATATCCTCTTCAGTTGAATATCTATTCATGTCTGTTTTCCATTTTGTTTGGATTGTGTGTGTGTGTGTGTGTGGTTTTTTTTGCTGCTGAGTTTTGAGGGATAGAACTGCACTCATTCATCATTTGCAACCATAGGTTAACCCAAGTTTAAACGTCTATGAAAATCAGTTAGCACATTCACTGAGAATCAGTTGGCTATACGGAATTTACTAAGGTTATTAGAGATTTTATTATTTGTGAAATTATGCACCACACATACTTTATATCAGTAAAATTTACAACAAGTTTATATACCTATTATGTATGTATAGAAGTATAAATAGCTACACACGTGTAAGTGAGTGTGTGTGTGTGTGTTCATCTTGTATACTCCTCTTCACCCCCAACCTCAAACTAGTTGTTAAACGGTGAACAGCACACCACTGGGAGTATTACTCTTACCTTTAATTTTAAACCTAAAATTACCCACGATTTAGTTTAATAATTTAACTGAACAAACCGAACTGACAACAGCAGATGTTTCACTAGTGCCTTCCATGTCACGGCATCATTGTTTGTATGTGAGATGCCCATGGGTGCAGTTCCCTCGGGTGTGACCATAAATGACTGGTTAGATGCAGTCTTTATATGCACACAGTTTTACTTCTGGGCACAGAGAAACTTTACCCTGATAATCACTAGGAGCATGCTCACAGGTGACACACTCATGGAAGAGTGCTCCCCACTCTTCTTGCTCTCAGATTGAAAGATTTGGGGAGCATCTCACTTCTGTGTTCATGTCACATTTGATGTGGCAGAAAGTGCAAAAGAATGGTGTGGAATACGTGCATGATGTCCACATGTTGTCAGGATTTTCTAACAGGGTATTTCATAATCTGACGCAGGGAGCAAGAAATAGTCTAGTGTTTTGCCCTAATACTTGTTTATGTATATTTTTATTTGTGAAATCTTATTTAAGGACATTGCTATAAAGGTGTTGGGCTGTTTCCTCTGACTTAATCTCCTCTTAATCTCCTCTGCATGACTAAACACTTGTACATGTATAATATCCCCAATCCCTTTTTTTGCATAATTTTATTTTTTGATCTGTGTAATTCCAAATTTGTCTTGACTTTTTTCCCTTCAGTTTAATGAGTGGTGTTAAGAATAACGTTGGAAGAGGGATCAATGTTGCCCTGGTAAATGGTAAGAATCACTACTTGAGCTTTTGGATGTATTCAGTGGTGTTCACATGCTCCACACAAAATATGCTCTGATATCAAGGGGTCGGGTCAGAAAGTGCCGCTCTTGACACCAAAGCCCCGCCCCCTTCCTACTGCCGCTGAACAAATGCAGCTGTCGGTGGGCACTTCGTGTCCGAGGGTGTGGGACACGCTGTCTTGGAAGCAGCCAGCTTCTGTGGAGTGACAGGGCACACCCAGCCTAGCGTTAAACCGGCGAATTCTTGCTGCAGATGTTGGAATCCTAACAGATGAAGGTAGATTGACATGAGTGAGAGGGTGTAAAAGACAGAGGGTGATGGATATTGGATGGGGTTGAGCACAATGAAGAGTAAGAAATAATTGTAATTTTCTAATATTTGTCCACACTCTTCTGGCAGATTCACTAGAGTAATTAAGTTTATTGAATCTTGAACATATTGAGTGTTCTTACAAAGTCAAACCTGAAAACATAAATCCATGAAGTGAGGCCGACTGCGTGCTGGTCTTCTGTGTCTGGCATCATAGAAGCCCTGCGAGGCTGTGCAGGGGGATTAAAACCAGCCACCCTACCCGGGCCATTGTGCAGGAAAATATTTTTACTTCCTTCACAACAAGAGCTACATTTTTGTGTTCCTACCTTCTTCAGTTTCTTAGGTAAAAGGTTCCATACCTATTTGTCTATTTAATGTTAATAAAAAATAGATTTTAAAAGGGAAATAAATGTACATTTTATAAAAAGATGATTAAGTCGGAATTGGAATCGTCTGCAGTCTGTTGTGGATTTCTGTGTGCTGCTACTTACAAGACTACTGAGAAAGTCCTATCCAAAGTTACCCTTTAGAAACATAGTTCAGATTTTAAGTCTTTCTCAGAATAATTTATATCAGTTATTGACTAAGAATGCTTGTTTTATACAGTAGAGTATATTTCAGTTGCATAATTTAATATGAATTCAATCTCTTTTAGGAAAAACAGGAGAAGTATTAGACACTAAATATTTTGACATGTGGGGAGGAGGTAAGTTTGAATAACAAGTAACCGTTCTGTTGCTAGCACTGCCTTCTTTCTTCTTTTCCTTAATCCTCACCCAAGCATTTTCCCATTTACATTGATTTTTAGAGAGAATAGAAGGGAGTGAGGGAGGAGAGAGAAACATCGATGTGAGAGAGACACATTGATCAATTACCTCCCATATACGCCCCAACTGGGGCAGGGGATCAAACCCTCAACCTAGGTCTGTGCCCTTGACTGGGAATCAAGCCCAAGACCCTTCGGTGTGCGGGCCGACCCTCTAGCCACTGAGCAACACTGGCCAGGGCTAGTGCTGCCTTCTTAGTTGCCTCTGTATAATGTAGCCCATTAATGAGAGCATAATGGCACCATTTAAAAAAAATCCTCATCCAAAGATGTGTTCCCACTGGTTTCTAGAGGAAGGGAGGGAGGGAGAGGGAAACTGATGTGAGAGAGGAACATTGATTGGTTGCCTCCCATACATGACTCAGCTGGGGATCAAGCCGCAATCTTGGTATGTGCCCTGACCAGGAATCCAACCCACAGCCCTTTGGTGCACAGAATGGTGCTCCAGCCAACTGAGCCACCCGGCCAGGGCCATAATGGCACCATTTTTGTGTTCATTTTGTTTTGCTTTCATTTCACTAAATATCCAGTGATCAGTCGTATTGTAAATTGTTTTGTGGTTTTCTTTTTTAATATAAAAAATTGTGGTGTATAGTTAAGAAAAATGACATAAAAATTGAGATTTAAAGCATCTGAGTTCTATTTTCTGCAGGACAGCTCATTTAAAGCTTTGGGATCCTTTAGGTTTCTGTCTGAAATTGTAAAAAAGAGTAAGTAATTTGAAGATGGCCATAGCAAAGCATTTTGAACTGACTGAATTGATTTTCTTTACATATGATTTTCTGTCTCAAAAAATGGGTATCTGAGAGAAGGAATAGAATTTTCTTTCTAGTTCATGGGCCAGACACCATTTGTATTAGGAAGTCCCCTGAAGAGCAGGTGGCAGTCGCTCACCAGCACGCAGAGACAAGGAGCTGGCACCGTGATGCAGGATGCTCCCCTCCCCCCAAAGAAGAGATTTCTTCCTCAACTTTGAAGCAAGACCCCATTGACTTACCTTTTGCGGCTTCTCTAAGCTGTTGGTGTGGGAAATTTACCAGCTCGAGGCCGCTCTTCTGCACCTCCCCATCCATCCCCTAACATATGGCCAGGAAGCCAGCAGAGTTTTCAGGCAGTTCAGCTTTCCTAATATTTCTTTAGCGTTCACAAGAGGCCACATATTATATGTTTTTAAATGAGATTAGAACTTTTCATAGCTGTGAAAACTGTGTAAACCTAAAATGCTACCATCGATGTCAGATTCTAAAGCATCATTGTTCTTACCATGAATTATTACGTAGGAACACGCTAGCAAAATGTGACCAGAAGCTCTGGTCTGTCATCACAGATAGATTCATCACTGCTGAAAATACGCCTCTAGTTAAGAAATAGTTGCAGCTTGCTGCCATTTTTGCATTTAAGTAGAAATGATTTGTTAGCTGCTCTACATATTTTCGGAATCAAGACTGCTATTATAAAATGCAATCAGCTAGAGAAAATCTTAGGAGTCTTTGCTATGGAAAGAAACTGAGTAAATTTAAAGTAACCCAGCCTATATTCTTCCCATTAGTATATGCTAAGTAGATATGCACAGAAGATCCCTTAGGTCAATGTGTGTGTAGGTGTGTGTGTGTGTGTGTGTGTGTGTGTGTGTGTAAACATTTGTATAATATTTTGAGGTTACAGACCCTTTTGTGAACTGAATAAAATGTGTGTATCCTCTTTTTAGAAAAGTACCCAGACACATTTACATAGATGGAGGGAGTTCATGAGCCTTTCTCATGCTCCCTGACTTTCTTACTTCAAATCATAAGTCATAACCTTGCAATGGTGTTTTCGTTTAGCCCCTGGAATATCTGTGCAAAGACATTTAGGAGGAATCAGGATTGGACATTTTAAGTTGATGGTGGAACAAACTTAATGTTAAGTTTAGGAACAAACTTAATTCTTTAACATGTTTATCAGATTTATCTTTCTTTTGGTTATTTTACACTAGAACTTATTAATTTACAAATTTAACATTTTATGTTATTAACTTTACAGATTATCATGATGGTTACTTGGTCATTTAAAAACCCTCAATCTTTTCTTTTTCTTCAGATGTGGCCCCATTTATTGAGTTTCTGAAATCCATACAAGATGGAACAATCGTCTTAATGGGAACATATGATGATGGAGCAACCAAGTATGTAAACTTCAAAAGCTGAACAATTTTTTCAGCTATATTTTATAGTAATTCATTTTTATTGAAAAAATTTCTGGATTAGAATAGAGTTCCAGATAAATACTATTAACCTTTTTTTAGTGTGTTTCCTTCTATCTTTCTGTGTATTCATTATGCATATGGTATGGTGAAAGAAGGATCACATAATACATAAAGTTTGTTCTCTTTTGTTATTTTTTTAAACAACTTTAAGTTTTCCCTTATATCAACATCCTTTGATAGAATTTTCATGATTCATCCACAGCTTTTTTTTTAAGTCTTACTTTTCTGAATAGACTTACATGTCTGCTCCTTTCACCAGGTTGTTCATTATTACACCCGATGAGCATCTGCCCTGTTCCCCTCCTGATAATAATACCTGTAGCCGTGCCTAAGAGCAGGGAAGGGTGCTGTTTTCTCTGTAGCTGCTATTTATTGGTGGTCATTCATCAAATGCACCCAAAACAGCCTCAGGCCAGGGTTCAACCTGTGGGTGAAAATGACGTCTTTGCATTTGGTCAACTTCTGTGCATTTAGTGAATTCAAGTTGTACATGTTTTCAGTTTGGGGCACGTGAATTTACGTATCAAGTATTTCCCTCTTTCAAACACTGGGGAAATAAATAAGCATCATGTCCTTTCTATGGAAATGGACAAACATTCCTTACGAAGGGCCGTCTGCATCGTGAATATAACACGATGTAACCACGTACCTTGGCAGGTGTCTGAACGTTTGAAGTGAGTCATGAGCTGTGGTCTACCCTGTCTTATGTGGGATGAGAAGCTCTTTTGTGTTATGGCTTTTCCTTACGTAGGCTGCTGGGTCTCACCTCCTAAGGGATGGTCTGTTCCCCTGCTTATCCTCGGGAGTCCAGAGGATAAAGTGGCTGTGCTGCTCTCTCCGGGACAGGGAGTCGGTATGCGTCCTGATGAGGGAAACCTCTACAGTGGTTTCTTTGGACCCCAGTGGCTATCATACATGATGAGCCCCGGCCTGTGCTCTGAGCTGCAGCAGAATAACGGACTGGTCCCCATCTCAGCACTTCCCAAGGGGTATTCCGTGGAACCCCGGTGCTTTAAACTGGTAATGATCCAATAAGTTTGGGGATCACACCTGGTATTGTGTACTTTTTATCAGCCTACAATAAAGGGCTCTGAAGCGCTGCCCTACAGAAATCTCTTTCCCCTTGTTTATCCCAGTGTGACTTGATTTTAACCAGGAAACACATTTAAGAAAAACAAAACAGTAAAAAACACACGCACCAAATTTTCCAAGAAACTTTACACTTTAGGGAACTCAGTTCTCAAATGATGCCTACTATCTACCTCATTCCCCTGTAAAACAAGTTGTTTTTTGTTTGTCTGATAAGGAATAAGCATTTGAGCGAGCAAGTTAAATGTGGCCGTTGTACGTCCCCTTTTGGAGAGAACACCATGGCAGGTTAGCGTCGTGCCTACGTGAAGCCTGGATGGCGTCTTTGAAGTCAGGGTTCTTTAAGGCCAGGTTCCCTTGGAGCTTCTCAGTGAATTCCTCTGCTGAACTGCTCACTCGTCAGGGCGTCAGCACCCCCGTCATTCCTCTATTTGAAATAAAACATGAAAACTGTTCTGGAGTAAATGTTATGTTCTCTACGTAGCCTCCCTCTAAATTCTGCCTGATGGTCCTTTGCTTGAATAAATGGAACAACAAAACAATAAATATGTTCCCCCGAATCATTTGCTACTTCAAGTATTGGAAGCTCGACGGCATTTCTCCTAGTTTTCCTTTTTCTAGGCTCAGTAGGAAGGCTCTTTAACCTTTTATCATGTTGAGCTTCTAGGTCCTTTTCCCCTCCTGGCTGCCTTTCTGGGGCCTTCTCTGGTCGATTGTCTTAAACCGAGTGCCCAAATGTAGCGGTGCGTTCCAGATGTGGTCTGGCCCGTCCAGGCTGCAGTGCAGATGCTAGCTTGCCATGCTGTGGAGATCGCATTTCTTTGAATATTCATGCAGACTCCTATTAGTTTTCTTTAAACACTCACATCACATTTTTGGCTCATGAGTTTTGGTCAAGTTAAATTCTCAGATCTTTTCATTTCATCTTAGACTTTTGTGTTTTAACCACTGCCAAGTCAGGTCTTGATTTTATTTCATCTAAATGAAGGACTTTATATTCATGTATCCTCGTTAAGTTTAACCCCTTCCCCAACAATTTGTTTGTTAAAAACGTTTCTTTTTCAGACTAATTTTTTTATTTTGGTTCTATATAGTATTTTTGATGCTGGTTATGAAAACAGTTTGTAACTTGTCTTCCTATAAACCATATTTTTTTACCATATTTTCTTAGTATACTCGTCGACGACTGAAAAAGAACATTTTGTGAAAACGTGTATACACGTTTCTGCCGGGGGAGGGGTTAACTATGCTCATTTGGGCCCAGTTGGCTTTGATTCTGACATTCGTCCTATGAGGTTTCCGTGATCCAGGCTTTGTATTCCCTCCAAAGGGGTTCTTATGTCTAAATCTAAGTCATTGATAAAAATGTTTACCCAGGGCCTCCTGCGAGGGGCGTGTCCATTAATCAAGTGCAGAAACTGCTTTTCGAGCTGCCAAGGGCCCTAATAGCCTCTCATCCAGCTGCTATTTTCATCTTAACTTGAAAATCTCAAATTATTCATGTAAAATCCTCATCTCTCAGCAAAAGCAAGTAACAAGTTACTTTTTTGTTTTTTAAATAAGAATAGCCTGTTATATTCTATTTAATTCTATCCAGGAAAATGGCAGTGGTTGAATATGCCAGTTTTATTTAACCTTTGAACTCTGTACATTTTGAACACATCTTTAGTTGAGTTAGGCAAAAGGCACAATGTCAGTGAACTGCCTCACTTAGAAACAGTCATAAACTGGCACTGCTCTCTCAGTGGGAATCGGCTGTTTTCTGAGACTTACCACGTGCCCCCTTGAAATTCACTGAACTGTGCTGACTGCAGTGACCTGTTCTACTGCCCGAAACCTCTTCAAAAGCTGCAGTAGCTGAGATCGCAGTGACTTGGCTATTTATTCCTCCCTCTGTTATGGGTGGGGTGTCCCCTGCGTCCCCACCTGTTGCTGGTGGAAGTGGGAGTTTTGGAGTGTCACAGGGACAAGAATTTCCCGAGGCCTCCATGGGACCATGAGGTATCGTGGAACGCCTTATTGATGAGGTAACATTAAGGGAGTTCCCCCAACACCCCCCGCCCCCCCCGCAACACCCCAGGCCCCGTCTCCCTCTAGCCCGCCATGGAAAAAGTCCCATTTTGCCTTCAGAACCAGAATCGAAGCACTGCCCAGAGCCTCTGCTCCATATTAAGGCCCAGTCCAGGCCAGCATCTGACTGGGTTAGCTTGTGCTCCCAGCTGCAGTCCATTGCGTGTGGGGGTCCACACGGCCATGAGCCAGGCAGCTTCTAGGGCCACATGGCGGGGGGAGCAGGTCACAGAACAAGTGAGTGAGAGGAAGCAGGAGTGAAGCAAGGGGAACAGGAGAGAGAATTCCTTGGGAATTTTAGCTAGGAGCTTCTTCTGTGAGCCCTGCAGGGTTTCGCGCTGGCAGTGGCTCCACCCCTCTGGCCAAGTATCTTTGTTCCCAGGTGAGACTGACAGTCAAGCATGTTACCTGTCATCCCGGCATCACTGTGCCTGTGTCCGGTTCCCTCCCCTTGGTGGCCTGCGGGGAATGGCCCCTTGGTTCCTGGGAGCGTGAGGTTGCAGCTCCTGGTGAAGCTGCCCAGGTGACCATGCTTACCATGCCTGCCTCCCCTTTGCTCCTTTCCTGTTGTTGCTGGTTACGACAGTAACACTTCCTTCCCACGACCCCTTCTCTTCTGTTTTTTAACGCTTACATGATCTTACAATCTTTTTAAGAGTTTTGCTACGAATTGGAATTGGTTTTATTGGACCACTGTTTTAAAACTTTTGCCTTTTTTAAAAATTGGAATATTGCACTTTTAATGTCTTAGCAACTCTATTTTCCATGATGCTTCTAAAGTAACTGACACTGCATGGAAGATTGCATTAAGGAGTTCCTTTAGAATTACATGTATGGTGTGAGTGGGCCTAGAGCAGTGGTTCTCAACCTTCTGGCCCTTTAAATACAGTTCCTCATGTTGTGACCCAATCATACCTAGTTGAGTAGAAAATACAAAAAAAGAATAATAAAATCCCCCACTCGCTACATGGGCAGATTGGAAAACTTTAGAAGTTACTAAGAGAATTATCTTGTTATAAAACTAGTTGATAGACATGGATAGGGACCTGTGGCAACGATGCCCAGGACAACCCCCCGTTTGCTGATTGGTTAGGAGGACCTACAGGGCCCAGCATAGAGTCCGCACCTCTGGCTGCAGTCCGTTACAGCAAAAGGACACCGAGCTGAGTCAGCACAGCGGGTGGTGCATGACACAGAGTCTGCAGGGAACCGGGCACATGTTTCCGAGAGCCCTCTCCCCAGGGAGGCACACAGGACATGCCTAATTCCTCTGGGAACAAAGTATGATAACCCTGAAATTCTGTCCACTAGGGAAGCTTGATGGAGAATCCGTGCCCAGGATTCTTGTTGGGAGCTGGTCATGTAGGCACCCCAAAATCCCAGACTTCCAGAGAGAAAGTGGGTGTTAATCGTACACTGCATTTGTTTTTTCTTTTCAGTTTAGGCACTGCGAACCATTCTCATCGATTCTGGGAATGGTGGGAGCCCTGGCAAAATTCAGGTTTCCAGGTGCCAGCTCCTGTCTTGCTAACTCAAGCCTGTTCTTTTAACCCCTTTTCTGCACAGGGCTCAGGGGAAAGCAAAGAGAGAAAGAGCCCAGTCAACATGTAAAGCTTCATTTCAAGCTGCTTCTAGATCTCTGGCTAAATTGGCGTAGTTTATTTCTACAGATCAAAAGGATCACTTCTGAAATTCAAAAGTATGGAAATACCAACGGCTGCCCTTCAGTGTATCTCTTAGCTGATATAAAATTCTTAGCTAAGAAAGATTTTATATACTTTTTGCAGGGGGCCAGGCCTGCATTTGGACAGTCACTGACTTTGCAGGCAGTTTTTGTGTATATAGCAATCCCTCGTCATCTGTGAATTTCCCATTCCTGTGAGGCGCCCATCTGACAATGTCTCTGAGATGGAGCTGAAGGCCTCGCAGTGAGCCTGCTGCCCGCCTCTGCATCCAGTACTATTTGTTCCTGTTGCGGCTGCAGAGCTCACCTCTTAGTGCTGATGATGCAAGTAAAATGTTCTAAGAAAGCAGGTGGATGGTAGAAGCATTGGATTAACGAATGCAATTGGACAGTCTTCCCAGATCGAAGACACGCTAGCACTGTTTGAACATAAGAATACGGTTCCGGCAGTACTTCCAGGGAGTGTCCCTCTAAATCAGAAGTTTCTTAACAAGTCAGCTGCCAAATAAATGATAGCTCACTTATGTCAGCCCGGGTGGGCACAGGAAACACGCTACAGACAGACTTTGCGGAGCAAGCCAGGCGCATCTACACCGGTCCTATGGGAAGGCCGGGCTCCATGGCTCTTTGGCACAGCCATTTCATTTATTTTGATTTCACTCGGTTACAGATGCATCACTTTATATAGATTTGAGTCTGAAAGGCTCAGTATTCCGGGACAACAACTGGTTTTGTCACTGATTCTGATGAACTTCCTCAGGAGGGCAGCAGGGCCGGGCTGTGGTGAAATAGCCCGCATCCCCCTGGCGTGGTTTGCCTAAACTGTGGAAGTCTAATGATATATATAGTTCCTGTCTTATGAAATGTTCTAAAATTTATTTTTTGTTTTTAATTTATTGATTTGGCGGGGGGAGGGAGCGAGAGAGAAAAATATCAAAATTTTTACCTTGTGTTTTTTTTAACTGATTTTAGAGTTGGGGGCGAGAGAGACACTGATTTGTTGTTCCATCTTTTTATGCATTTCCTCTTATATGTTTCCTCTTGTATGTGCCTTGACTGGGTGTTGAACCAGCGACCTTAGCATATTGGGAGGACACTCTAACCATCTGAGCTATACTGGCCAGGACTAAAGCTCCTGTAAAAAAAACAGTTACCCTGCTTATCTTCATGTTAATTAAATGAGAACTATTGGACCCAGTGTTTTCTCCTTAATACCCTAAAGTGCTAACTGATGTTAATATGAGACATTTCAAGGAACTCTGAGACAACCAAGCACCTTCCTTACTGACCCTCATGCTATGTGAGGTGAATGGTCCTCCAGCGATTTGCAAAAAATAAAACAACAAAAAAAGAACCCTTGCCTTGCAGATTTTTTTTTTTAAGCCTCACCTGAGTATATGTTTCCACTGATTTTTAGAGAGAGGGGAAAGAGAGAGAGAGAGAAACACCCATCGGTTGCCTCCTGTATGCTCCCTACTAGTCTTTCAGTGTAAGGAGAACGCGCCAACCAACGGAGCCACCCGCTGCAGGCAGCCTTGCCTTAGAGTTATAACAGAACAGAACCCTCCGATTGCCTGTATTGCAATCTTTTGGGTAAATAAAACAACTGCACGGGCAGTCCTTAGTTATCTTTTTTTTTCTTTTTTTTTTTTTAGCTCTACAGTTAGCATGTAGCTACTGACTTCCTTTGCTATTTTGAGAAGATTAAGAATCACTCACCATTAGGATAATAACCTACACAAAATTCCTTAATGGCATCTTTCAGTTATCTAGTCCCTAGCAGTTGGCTTTTGCCACTGGCCTTCCTCTGGGGAGGTACTTAGCTGCTGTGTGGTTACTATTTTCGCTTTCATTAAATAACCATGTGGCAGTTATCACTGGAGTATGACTTATGTCCCTATTCTCAAAGTTCACTTTATTTTAAATAAGATGTAAAATTAGAAACATCTAGATTTTTATGAGCATTTACCTTTATTCAGTTCTGCAGTTTGCAAAGATTTTACTGGAGATTCAAAGTGATGTTTAATTTTATAAAGTTACTGGTTTTTTAAGACCATGGGTTAGCCTAGATAGGCATCTTCTAACTGATGAGAGTTAATTATTGCTGTGAAAGAAAGACATCTAAATGGTACTTCTTAATAAAATAAGCTTGAAATATAATTGCTAGATCTCATGTCTTTTGTCACTAAAGAATTCAAATAATAGGAATTAATGGGGTGATCATGTATAAGGTATGAAAATGCCAAATCATTATATTGTATACCTGAAACTCATATAGCTATATAATGTTGTATAGTATACTTAAGTAAAAAAAAAGCTTCAAATATGTCTGTTACTCTAAAAAAATTTCTTACATTGTCTTATTTAAGCTGCCATTTTTTCATTTTATCTCATGTTATATGTTAGATATCCTAGGTGAGTTGGGATCACTAAGCTAACTTGAGTGCACTATGTTTATCATATTATTCTTTTTCTCCCCCTAAGACTCAACGACGAGGCGCGGCGGCTCATTGCGGAGTTGGGGAGCACATCTATCACCAATCTGGGCTTTAGAGACAACTGGGTCTTCTGTGGTGGCAAAGGCATTAAAACAAAAAGTCCTTTTGAACAGGTTAGTGTCTTAGACTTTAATCATTAATGGACAAAACCGAATTGTGTGAAATTGTGTGGTAAATATTTTAATCCCAGTTATTTGAAACTTAGATAAAGCAGCCATTTAATATGTTCATGTATTTTTCTGTAAGTTCTCGGGAATTTCTTTCCTACATGGCAATGCATTGGCATATGATTACTTGTGCCTGAAGCCTTTTAGGAAGCATTGGTTATTAAAGATTTTAATTGAGCTTTTGATAGAATCAATTAAATTTGAAAATACTTTATTTATTTATTTATTGTTAAATATATTTTATTGATTTTTTACAGAGAGGAAGGGAGAGAGAGATAGAGAGTTAGAAACATCGATGAGAGAGAAACATCGATCAGCTGCCTCCTGCACATCTCCTACTGGGGATGTGCCCGCAACCCAGGTACATGCCCTTCACCGGAATCGAACCTGGGACCTCTCAGTCTGCAGGCCGACGCTCTATCCACTGAGCCAAACCGGTTTCGGCTGAAAATACTTTAGAAGTTAGTAGAATGTGAACTTTACCTTTCGGCTAACAAGTGATCCTTTACAGAAATCTGCAATGTTTAGTTCTTTCAGTGGGTTATTTGAAGGTCTGCCACTGCATGCCAGGCCCCATTTAATATCTTGAACAATATTTTTTTTAATCCTTAGCCTAGGATATGTTTTATTGATTTTAGAGAGAGAGGAAAAGGGGGGAGAGAAATAGAGATGAAGAAACATCGATGTGAGACAGAAACACTGAACTGTTGCCATACACGCCCTCACTGGGGATCGAACCTGCAACCTAGGTATATGCCCTGAGCGAGAACCTTTTTGGTATATGGGACAGTGTTCCAACCAACAGAGCCACCTGGCTGGGGCTTGAACAGTAATTTATATGAGCTCCTTGTGGACATAGTGTTAGTGAAATGAATACACTAAACTGTGTTATTGCAGATAAACAACAGAGGATTTTAAAACTACTATGATTGTGTTCCAACAGCACATAAAGAACAATAAGGACACGAACAAGTATGAAGGCTGGCCGGAGGTGGTAGAAATGGAAGGATGCATCCCCCAGAAGCAAGACTGATGGGGAGAAGATTCAGGGGCACGCGCTGGCACTGGCACAGAGGACCACAGCAGAGAAGCTACATGTACATGTTTTCAGAGCATGCAGCCATCTCGGGGTGTGCACGAGCATTCTCTTTTGATACCATGATTATTTATTGCTAACGTAAATAGATATCTGTAAATAGTCATCAGAATGAGCAAATCACTGTACCATTTCTAAGCACATTTCTCTAACAGTACAACGTTTAGCTGCTATGGAAATGACATCTTTCAATTCTAAAAGCATACTCTCGATAACTGAACTGATTGTGAAAAATATATTGATATATATACTGGTTGCTGTGAAAATCTATCATGGAATAATATGGATTTCCGGGCGGAGACTTTGTTTTCTTTTATATATATGTATACTGCTTTTTGATAATAGTATCTTCTAGATTCTATCTCGCTAGTTGTTTGTGTAGTGTTACTTTATAGTCTGACTCTCTTGATGTACCTGTTTTCTTAGTCTTTCTCTTCCCTTCCCAAGAAACCTAGAAATAAAATGATAGGAAAACTTAGATATGTGAAAAGCACAATAAAATTTTTTTTTTTAATGTACACAGTAACATATAGATATATAAATGTAGATGGTTTTCAGGACTAGCTTGATGGATTTTGTGTTAGTGATGTGAATAACTTGATTTTGTATAAGCTATTTAGAGTGAGGGTGGAGGTGGCAACTCCACGGAATTGGGGATCCAGGCCACACCCCTTCCCCAACCTAACTGGGTCATTCAGGACAGCATGTCAGTGCGGTGAGAGCAGCACTGGCATCTATTTCTCCTTCCTTGTTATCGGCATTGACAAGGTGTTTTGGAAAGAGGCATGCTTTAATATCACGATAATATTGATTTATAAATCAAGATATTAACTTTATATTTACCCTTTAACTTCATAATAACAGTTTTTGCCAGATACATAGCAACATATTTAGAAAAGACCTAATTACTGAATGGACTGATAACATTTACAAAATAATTTTATTTGATGCAAAATTATTCTACACCCAATTCTAGATAAAAATATAGAGATCTAACTTTTTTGTTAACTTCAGATGTTCACTAATTGACTCAAGTTTTTTATTTTGTTTAGGTTATTAAATACTAATTGTGTATGAAGTATCTTAAACCGGGACATAAAATTAATGCTTAAACTGCCATTCACAATAAAAGACAGCACTTAAATTTGAATCTAAATTTCAGATGACTTGTGTAAAAAAAACTAAAAGCAATATTTTTTATTTTGCTGTCAACAAAGTTGGAAGCTGTTCAACTCTTTCTTAAACACTAACGAGGTTTGGGGTACTGTTTCTTCCTCAAACAATGTAACTCATGAATAAATGCACCTTACAAGTTCAACAACTTTTGTAAACTTTTCAGATTTTGGTGCTTATATGCTAAATCATATTTGGCATGTATACTCTGACATTTAAAAGACTTCCCTGAATTCTATAAAATTAAAAAAATAGGTGTTTTACAGTTCCAGAGATTGTGAAATATTGCACTTTTTAAAAGTTATAATGAAAATAAGTACTCATGGTTTTCCATTGTGAATTTTTTTGTATTGTCTGGCAAAATAATATACTTACAGAACTTCATAGTAAGATTTGCCAAGCATTTATTATACTGCTTAACATGCGAAATTTACATCATTCCTGTAGTTAAACACACTAATATCTTAACATGTATAGAATATAAGGACTGAGGTAGCAGGACATCCCCTTTAAGATAAAGAGTACAAGATGATACCTAGCTTTGTAAATGTGTATAAAATGTCGAAAAAAAGGGATAAAAGTTGATTATGTAATTGCTTTGATACAGTTTGCTTTTGTTTTAATTCTTTCTTGTATAGATTGTGCCAGCTTAACTTTGGAAGCAATAATTCTGCCACATTTCATTTTCAGATGGCTTTTAAAAATCAGCATTGTAAATGAAATCATGTTTATTTAATGTTAAGAATTTTCTTCATTAAAATCAGAAATTTGGCATTGACGCTTTGGTATTTGAAACTGTGCTTAAGGACTTAGGGACGCATACTTTTTATTTATAATCATAGATGATTTCCCAGAGCAAATATATTATAATATGCCTGTTAAAACTAAACAAAGACAGTAGGAAAATATTAAGGTGTTTGAAAAATTAAAGAAAAATTGATAGTCTTTATATCCCTGACTTTAATTTTATTAAAGTAAAATTCATCATTGTTCTTCCTATATTTTATGGTTTTGTTTTGAAATGACTCAGCCAATATTTTATAATTTTATGTCAGATGGAGCTCAATACATTTAGCCTGTATTGCACTTTACTCTAACGATTTATACAAATCGTAAATAATTTGACCTCCCCCTCTGAAAAAAATGATAGTTTCATTCAGTTTGGTTAACATTCTCCATTTTTAAGTGGAAGAATTGGGAATTGCTGTGTTTAATGAGCATAGCAGTTAAAAGTAGAATGTATTTAAAACACTTAAAAAATATGAAAAGGAAAAGTGGCTTGTGTGGATCAGGGGAAAGATTCGCCACGGAACTTCTCAATTAGGCCTTGGACAGCAGTAAGTACAGGTAAACTAAGAGTTGGAGAATAAACTACCAGATTTTGCCTTTTCTAAACATTCTTTAGAAGAATTATTTTGCTGTCTGTTCCCAGGATCACTTCTGTCATAGACTTGGGTTTTCGTGAAATCCATTGGCTATATAATCTCCATACCCCTCAAAGCTCCCTCAGTTTGAGGAGGCCTTGTCCTCTCTTACTGCTTTGAGGTTCTAGTCAAATCAAGGGTTAGAGCAGGGGTCCTCAAACTACGGTCCGCGGGCCACATGCAAATACAAATATTGTATTTGTTCCCGTTTTGTTTTTTTACTTCAAAATAAGGTATGTGCAGTGTGCCTAGGAATTTGTTCATAGTTTTTTTTAAACTATAATCTGGCCGTCCAACGGTCTGAGGGACAGTGAACCGGCTCCCTGTTTAAAAAGTTTGAGGACCCCTGGGTTAGAGTGAAAAGCAGATAGGCCTGGTGGCTTGGCGATGTCCGTTGGTTGCTGGGCAGCTTGAAGGAGAGCGGGCAGCATGAGGAAAGCCTGCCCAGCGATCTCAGAAGCTACTCCGATCTCAGACGCTGCTCCATCAGAGCCTTCCTCCAGGCCAGCGGGGGCCAGACTCCTGGAGGGCACACTTCTAGGAGCGCTCGGAAAGAGAAAGGGATTGGCCAGCCTTTCTGTTAGAGACAGAAGAGGTTTCTCTTGGGTTGGGTCCATGGGCTGTTTCTAAGCAAACTTAACCAGGGAAGACACCCACTCCCCACAAGCGCAGGTAGTTCTGGTGTACACCTTGTTGCCATTACTGCGCTCACTGTTCAGCTCTGCATAAATTATGCCTAGCACTGGGGTGCAGTGACTCAACAAGTTGAGGCTCAATTGCTGAAAGATGATCCCCTTTGTTAGGGAAAACTGATTTATGAAATGCACCGGCAAGCTCCTAATGTTGCATATAATCAGTCCATATTTGTTTCACTTGATAGAAAAGGGGCCTACGATTTTAAAGACGGGAGAATGGTGCAGTGAGACAGTGTAGGGTACTGGTTAGGCGTGCAGACCTGTCTGAGCGTCTCCATTCCACTGTCTGCTACATGAGGACCTTGAGAAAGTCAACGTCCTCACCTGTGAAGTAGGGATAATACTGTGTGTGGTGACCCAAGTGCCTGGCACTCATTAGATACAACTGCTCATATTTCTGTTATCCTTGACCGTGCCTCTCGCAAACTAGTGATGTTTTAGCCCAAGAGAAAAGTTGTCAGCCTCTTTAACTTTGCCATCCCATCAGACCAAGTGCTATGGTCAGACTGTGTTCCCCCAAAATTCGTATGTTGAAACCTAACCTTCAATGTGATGGTATTAGGCGGTGGGGCCTTTGAGAGGCGATTAGGTCATGGCAGAGCCCTCATGAATGGGTTTAGTGTCCTTACAAACTCAACCCTAGAGAGCTCCCTGGCCCCTTCTGCCATGTGAGGGCAGAGGGAGAAGCTGGCCATCTGTGAACAAGGAGGCAGGTCCTTGCCAGACACAGAATCCGCCGACACTTTGACCTTGGACGTTCCTGTCTCCAGAACCGAGAATAAATTTCTGTTGTTTCTAAGCCACCCCGTCTACGGTGTTTTGTTATAGCAGCCCAAAGGGACTAAATACCAAGCCTGAATGATGGAACCATTAAGTGACCAGGGCACTAGGGTTCTAGGAGAGGATGCAGCTATACTCACCGGAGGTTCCCCTTGATCTCCACACCTCAGAGTATATACCACCTCCCCTTTCACTCAGTCCACGCTGACAACAAACTGCCTTTCAGATGCAGAATTCAAGCTTTTGTGTATCTCCAGGCAGCTGACAGGGTCATATGGTTCTACTTGCCGGCCTACCTGCAGGTGAAAGTGGCTTCAGCCAGGGGCAGGAGCCTTTTCTGATTACTTCCCGTGGCCACAGCCAGTTGGGGAGCCTCATAATGGAGCATGCATTCTGCTGCAATCTCAGTGTGGGAGGCACAGGACAGACAATATACATTAATTTTTGTACTTAGTCATCTCCCTGTCCAACCCACTCCTGCCCAGGGGCGGGTGGGACAGCCATCAGGTCACAGGAGATGCTGGGACTCGGCAGGCACCCCCTTGTACACCAACATCTGCTGTTTGCTCGGAGGGCCTGTGAATGCTCTTGTTATGAGCAACGTTGTCTGGGCAAGAGAGAAATCTTGAATTGGAATTTTGAAACTTCTTTTGCTTTCGGGGATCAACACGTAACAGTCTGTTATTTGAAATTCATATGTTTGACTTTCAAATACATTTTCAGCAATGCATCATGCATTCAAATGCAGTCCTGCTCGTCCACGTGCTGCTACTCCTGCTTGGATGTGACATGACCAGGTGAGCGAGCTCGGGACTGCAGCCGGTGAATTCCCTGCCATGTCTGAGCCTTCTGTGTCACCAGTGGAATAAAAGTCAATTTGGAAACTGACTTCTGCATGCCCCTGTGGTTTGGGACTATGATGAGAGAAGTACTGTTTGCTTTATTTGACAAGAACAGAAATCCCCGAGCAGAGGGGAGATTTAAAAGCAAATGAAAAGTGACCCCATTGTATGGGAGGACATATTTGGCAATGATACATCTGATAAGGGATTAACTTCCAAAATATATAAAGAACTCAAAACTTAAGAAAAGGAAGACGGTCCAATTTAAAAAAAACATGGGCAAAGGACCTAAATAGACACTTCTTCATATTGGACATACAGAAGGCCAAGAGACATACGAAAAGATGCTCAAAGTCATTATCAGAGAGATGCAAATTAAAATGACAATGAGGTATCACCTCATGCCTGTCAGAATCGGTACCATCAACAAATCAACAAATAAATGCTGGCGAGGAAGCAGAGAAAAGGGAACCCTAGTACACTGCTCCTGGAAATGCAGACTGGTGTATAACCACTATGGAAAACAGTATAGAGTTTCCTCAAAAAATTAAAAATGGAACTGCCATTTGACCCAGAGATCCCACTTCTAGGAATATAGCCCAAGAATCCCAAAACACCAATCAGAAAGAATATATGCACCCCAATGTTCATAGCAGCAGTATTCACAATAGCTAAGATATGGAAACAGCTCAAGTGCCCATCAGTAGATGAGTGGATAAAAAAGCTGTGGCACATTTACACAATGGAATACTATGCAGCTGTAAAAAAAGAAGTATCTCTTACCCTTTGAGACAGCATGGAGGGACCTGGGGAGTATTATGTTAAGTGAAATAAGCCAATCAGAGAAAGACTAGTATCATATGATCTCACTGATATGTGGAATCTACTAAACAAAATAAACTGACAAAATAGATCCAGAGATGTGGAACAGACTGACGTATCTCAGAGGGAAGAGGGGAGGTGAGGTGAGAAGAGATTAACCAAAGAATTTCTATGCATATATGAACACAGACAACAGTGTAGTGGAGGCCTGGGGTGGGGGGCGAGAACTGGATGGAGGGGGTCAACGGGGGACATCTGTGATACTCTCAATAATAAAGATTTAAACAAGTTAAAGAAACATAGGGATTATATACTAGAAATATATAGGCAATCACTGACTTACATTTTGTATATGTACACCTTTCCTTGGTTAGGAAGAGTCCAAGGTATGTTTAAATGCTCAGAGTTAAATTTGGTGACCTTCCTCTCTTTTTAATCAAAGAATACTTAGGAGCTGCAAGGGGTCACCCCTCCTTTTTCTTGGGTGAACATGGCCGGGTAGATGTGGGCCATGGTCCCGGGCGCTTGGTTGTTACTAATCCGCATAAGGAAAAGCTGTTGGCTTCCATGGAGGTGAATCACCCCGAGGGTTCAGATTGGCAGTGTGACCGAGGAAAACAGGCAGCCCTGGATCCACCCCTCTTTCTGCTTTTCCAGTTCTCACACGACTCAGATGCTTTCACTTATTCTGCCAATTAAAAAGTCACATATGAGACTTCAGCTTGCGCTGATCTGGTCCACATTCATTATTGCTCTTTCTTTACAGCCAGTGGGGGAGGCTGCTTTTCCTCAGCATGACTTCGTTTCAGGAGTTTTTAATCGTGCAAGCCATCTCTAGTGGTTTCTTTTTGGATGCGAATGTAAACCGTTACCAATGGTGAATTTCACCCGTCTATTAAAAATAACACCTTATGTAACAATTGGCTGTAAGCACTACAATAGAAAGGATGTAAGTATTTATTTAATGTCACACTAAATTAGCTTGATCTATACCCCTACTTATTTCCTTTTGGAATGGTTGTTAGGCTCTTGCGGAATCCAACTGTGAGCCGCCCTGGGATCTCAAATAGCAGGCAGTTGAAATCACTTAGAAATCAAGAGATGATGTACAGTGGGGCCTTGACTTATGAGTGTCCCGACTAATGAGTTTTTTGAGATACCAGCTGTCTCTCGGCTGATTTTTTGCATTGAGTTGATAGAGTAATTTGAGTTAACGAGCTCGGTCTCAGAACGAATTAAACTCGTAAGTCAAGGCCCCACTGTACTTCCATTATATTTCATGGAGAATTCGAAGGTCTCCATTCTCCCATCACTTTACTCCTGCTCCTCAACCAAATTATGTAACCAAACCTTGAAGTCATAAACATCCTGTAATTTTCATTACAT